AGCAGCCACCTCGATGATCTTCTCCCGCCAGGTGCGGGGCGGGCCTCTGCCTCACAGCCTAACCATGACCAGACGCGGCCGGCGAGTGGAGGTGCCGGATCCCACATCGCCGCCGCCGCCGCCGTCGGAGCTAGGTGCCAGGCTGTTGGGAGCGGCATCTTTGACGGCGGCGGCGGCGGCGACCTCCCCAAATAATAAGGGATCCGCCAAATTGCTGGGTAAAGCGGCCGCTGGCGGCGGTGCCGCCGCCGCCGCCGCTGCGGCCGGGCACGGCGGTGGTGGCGGCGGCGGTGGTGGTGGTCGTGGAGCTCTCAGCGTGCGGATCAGCGCGGTTGAGAGCCTCGGTCGCAGCGGTGGCGGCGGCGGCGGCGGCCCTTCGCATACCGGCCTGCCCAGTGGGGAATGCGAGGGTGTCACCTTGCGGCCGTCACCGAGCTTGGCCATGGTGGATGCGGCGCTGTTCTGGAACTCGGAACTGGCTGCTGCTGCTGCTGCTGCCGCTGGTGGCGGGAGCAGCGGCGCCACGACCCCGTTCCACAGGGCCGGCACTCTGACCAGAATACATCTGTTACGTCCGCCGCCGCCGCAGCTGCTGCATCCGGCCCCCGCCGCGTCACCCGACCTCGTGGTGCTATCCGCGAAGTCGCTTAAACAGGACGGTGGCGCCGCCGCCGCCGGCACTATGCGCCAGGCACGCAGCGAGAGCAGTGTCAGTGGCGGCGTTGGCATGGATGGTGAGGGTGGTAGGGTCCCGGGCGACGTCGACGGCGGCGGGAACGGCGAAGACCTGGTATCCACATCTCCGGTGTCGCAAGTGGCCCCCGAGCTGCTAGCCTCCGGCTCCTTTCGCAGCCCGGCGGACGGCAGGCAGACCACCTGGCCTGGTGCCGTACCGCCCTCCGGCTCTGAGAACCCCGTTAAGGGTAGCGGCCACCCCGCGGCAGCGCACCTGCCGCATCTGGAGACGCCGCTGTCGCCGTCGCTCGCCAGGGCGACCGCCGCCGCCGCCGCTGCCGCCGCCGCCGCAGCTTATGGCAATGTCCAGCAGCTTCAGCCTCCGTCGCATCGGTTGTTACAGCCGCTGCAGGGCACGGCGTCGGCGGCGTCAGCCGCTACCGTTGCCGCCGCGGCGGGGCTCCCTGCCGTACCTGCCAGCCCGGTAACTTTCGCCTCTCCCACAGCAGCGGCGGCGACGGCGACTGTGGCGGCGGCAGCGGCAGCCCGCGGCGGCGGCGTCAGCTTTGGCGGGCTCACTGCTACTGCCGCCGCCGCCGCGACGCCGCTACGCTTCGGCGGCCTGGCGTCGCCGTCGCGTGTGGTCATGACGGTTCCGGACAGCCCGTTTCGCCCCCTTGAGCGACCTCCCCGGGGGGCAGGGGCAGGGGGAGGGGGAGGGGGAGGGGGGGCGCTTCGGCGGCAGATCAGCAGCGTCAGTGAAGCGGAGGGCTGGGGGGGGATGGCCAGCAGTCCGGCGGCGGGGTCTCCGCTCGCATCGCGGTGAGTGCGGGAGCGACGTGCATGTGCTTCTACCTGTGGGCTTTTTGACAGTGCTGCGGATCGGTGTGGGGTGTGCTGGGTGGAGCTGGGTGTAGGCGTGGAGCTGCCCGGTGGCCCCATTCGAACCGCCTCAAAACAGCATCCAAATTGGCGTTGCGCCCATCAGGATGCCGTACGGTTGGACTACGTTTTGTCTTAGCGGCAGCCATATAACATAACCTTCTCGAAATCAAATCTTGTTCATTTTTTACATCCAATCTGCGACGAAATGGTAACAGGAGTCGCGACACCGGGAGTCAATTATTCTTGTTTTGTGTTTAGATTCTAAGTTGGTTCGTTAAAATTGAGGTTGTATTTGTTTGTTTGTTTGTTTGTTTATTTTTGAGATTTGTGCCGTGTGCCTTTGCTGCTGCCCTTCCCGGGACTGCAGTTCATATCGGCATGCGGAGACCGAAGACGCGTCTCTGGGCGCCTTCCCGGCGGTACGGCGCTCGGTAGCCGCCACCGGCAGCCGCAGTGCCAAGTCCCTAAGTTCCTTGCCGCTAGCCACCGCCCTGCAACCACCTCCACAACCTCCCGCACATGGGGCGCTAGCCCAACACCAGCTGCTGCGTCCTGGCGGCGGCGGCGGTGGTGGCGGCGGCGGCGGCAGCGGCTCCTGCTCGTTGGTTCGGCCGCCGCCGCACCTGGCCAGCACCTCTGCGAAGGCCCTGGGCGCGGCATCGTCGTCGTTGTCGTCGTTGTCGGGTTCATTGGCGACGGGCGAGAGCTACGGCGGCGGCGCAGGGCTTCCTCCCCCCCCTTCTTCACTGGCGGAGCCCTGTCTGCCCCCGGGCCGCGGTGGCCAGGACGACGAGGTTCCCCCGCCGAGCGGGGAGGCAGGGGGGCCGCTGCGGGACTCCGACCGCTCCGTCGTCAACTCGTCCGGTCGGGCCGGGTCAGGTCCGTTGCCTAGGACAGTGCTCCTTCCTGAGCTCAAGAGTACGGGCACGGCGGCGGCGGCCGGCGACGCGGCGGCGGCGTCGCTGTCGAGACGGAGTCAGGAACCGACGGCGGGTGGCGGCATCGGCAGTGGCGGCATCAGCAGGCTTCTACCTGATATCCCCGGTAGCTTAGCTGCGGCGCCGCAGGCAGTTGCTGTCGGCGCTTTGCGGGGGCATTGAGAGCAGCAAAACCAAAACCAGGAAGAGCGGTAGCCTTCAATATGATGGGAAAAGGATTCAGATGTGGCTGCGCGAGGCAGCCCGCCGGGGCGAGGCAGCTGCAGTAGCTGCTGCTGTGGTGTGCAGAAGACGTTATGAAGAGTTGAGTTGAGCTGTCGTACTTGTTGAAGAATGACATCTCATCGAGAGGTGCGTGTGACGATGTTGATGACGAGGATCCCGCAATGGCCCTGTTGCTCATACAAACTTCCTGTACGAATCTTTCTGTACGGCACGAGCTTGTCGTATATGCCAAGCTTCCTCATGTGTACGGACTTTTCGTGCATACATATGTATGCTCTCATTAAATTTATATACCTAGTGGGTATAAGTATGGTGTTGCCGGGAGTCAACCCGTTATTGAACCATCGGACTTTGTTCGTGAAGCATAATCCTATAGTTAGCAAACAGTGCCAATTGTTTGGATGTGGTGTTGCAATATTGCTGCAGGGATGGGGATTGGGGGGGGAGTAAGAGGATGGCTAGGCGGGTGGATTATTCAGGTACCGTGGCCACAGCCCGTTTATAACCCTCCCCCAGTCCCACGATAGCACGCAGTTGATCGTATACTTGGATTGTACGGCATAACCGAAATATGTGCGCATCTACCGGCACATTGCGAGGCAGGCTGCGCGATATGCTGGCGCGTTTAAATCGTGAATGTCGTTGTTGATGTTATAGTGCTGAAAAATGCTTTTTAATTTTACCTGGAATATATGCACTGTGGGGTAGGGCCGTACGCCAAGATAAGTGCGTCGTACGCGTAATGTATGTATGTATGTATGTATGTATGTATGTATGTATGTATGTATGTATGTATGTATGTATGTGTGTGTGTGTGTCTGTGCCAAGGCATTCCAAGCTCACTCACGCAGATCCGTTTTCGCGCTGCATCTCAGTCTTTTCCGTCGCGTCGCCTTGTATTGCACATGGGCGCGAATAGGAAACCTCTCGACTAAGCGTTAGGGAAATACGTAGACCGCTGGACGCTGGTGTGGGGTGGGGTGGGGTGGGGTGCAGCCCTGCCCGCCCCGCACTTGCGCTCCGATGAGCGGAACGTCACAGTACCATGTACGGAACAGGCGGGCAAGTTTGCCGCTTGGACGTGGTCACCCTAATATTACGCATGCACGTGCGGTGCTCACAGGAAGCCTCAAACAACATTCACTCGTACACACATACGCTGCACATCCTGATTGTCGTACACTTAAGACGGGCGTCCAAAAATCATCACGTTGCCGTACCAACCTCAATGGTTACCGTGGACGTCTGTTAGGGGGCTTTGTTACGATTGCCGTACAATGTTGTACAGACCCTGAAGCGTTGGCACTATGCTGCAGGTTTATTCACCCTGGAAAACTTCATATGCATAAATACATGCATACATATACATATATACATATACACACGGGGCTGCCAGGCTCCCTCGGCGGTCTTGGCTGTAGCGGTTCACTGTGTTGCACGATGACGTGGAGATGCGACTGCTACTCTTGGGAGGGGGAGTGTGGGGGTGGGGACGCCGAGGTCCTGAGCGGGGCAGGGCAGGGCAGGGCAGGGCGGAGGAATGTACACGCCGGGGTTTTCAAGCGCGAAGAGGGGCTGCCCGGGGTCAGGGGGGTCCCGGAGATTTTCCTTTTTGTAGGGATCCCATATTCCGTGTATAGCAGGGCTTGTCGCCGTGTGCATATGTCGTTACCTGGTTGGTATCTGGCTTAGAAACGACCTGTACGGGGGTTGTGGTTTGCTTTAATGCCCGGGCCCTTGTCAGACGCCCTGCGAACAGTATTTTGCTAATGCTCCGCCCCTTATTGCGATGTTCGTTTAGTCGCTTTGGTTTTGTCGTATTGGTTGTCGTATTAATTGTCGTATTGGTTGTGTCGTATTGTTGCCGTCCCTGCCCCCTTGGTGGTCGGAACGGCAAGCGTGTCGGCTGGCGCTGCTGCTGCCGCGCATAGGGCCCTGTTAGGGAAGGGGGGAAAAGCGGGACGGGGCGATGGAAGCGGTTTAACCCTCTGTCCCTTCCCCCCGTAGACCTAACCCTGCAACCAGGGGGGCGTACGGCTGCGTGCTTGCTCCACAAGGTAGACTGGGTTGTGTGTTATGTGTTGTATGCGGCCCCTGGGAAGGCGGAAGTGAAGTCCTGAGCTAACGATCTTGGTTTCGGGGCGTGTGTTTATCCGCGTCCGTGTTGCAGAAATACATTTTGCTGCTTTAAAAGTATCGAATTTAAAAAAGTTGGAAAGGGGACGATAAGGAGGCGGTAGGTGCGGCCGGGAACGACGTACCGCCGGGTTTTACTCCTCTTACCCGGGGCCATACGGAAATGTTGATGATATGTGTTTTGCGTTTAGTTTCGTGGTCATGCTGAGTCTTAGTGTCCCACCCATGGCTGCTGCGCATTGCCGCCCAATGTGATGTGGTTCGCCTGTTAGCCTATAGCTTAGCTTGCCAACCCACTTACGACGAGCAACAACGGGAAGGCTTCCGCTACATATGTATGTATTATGTATGTATGTGTGTGTGCGTTCACAGCGTTAACGATGCAGTTACGGACGAGGACTTCTGAACGGCGAAAGTCTTAGCAGGGGGTTTCTGGCCCTAAGGCTTGGCACACTTAGGGTTTCGGTCTTCCAGTATTTTTGAGGTTTGGACCGCGGCCAGTGCCTCCCCCCTACTCCCGACGTATATTATCCTCACAGCTAGATTAGACTGCTAAATGTCGACACAACTGTTTGTGGAGTGCGACGCCGTTCACTGACCAGGGACGAGAGGAGCTCACATAAGCTCTGTACGACGTATGTGTACGGATTCTGCTGATGTTTTTTGTGCTTTAGTTTCCGTAGGCTCTTCTCATGCACCATGTTAAGACGCGCTACCCTTACCCTGATCACGTCCTCCTCGCAAACCACCACGGCAACGATCGAATTGTGTGCATCGAATGCATATAAGGTCATGATAGATTGAGTGGAGGCCTACATTTGTATAGCGCATGGCAATCGTACAACAGTACGGTAGTGACGTACAAGTCGCGGTTGCGCCTGATGCTATTAATGTAAATGGTGAAATGATGCGATCCGCACAATGCCCTGTAGGACTGACTGCTGATGTGTGTGTGTGTAGCTGTGTGTGTGTTACACCTCCAGGTTGCGTTACCCAGATAGAGAGGTGTAACGAGTGCCCGGAGCCACAAGAGCCTAAGAGCCACAAGTTAGGTACAAGTCATGATATATCGCAAAACGTTCTAGTACTTATGCAATATACACACGGGAAACAAGAACATTAGAAACAACTATGACCGGAGCCGGGCTGTGTGTGTGTGTGTGTGTGTGTGTGTGTGTGTGTGTGTGTGTGTGTGTGTGTGTGTGTGTGTGTGTGCGTGTGTGTGGGGGGGGTGGGGTGGGGGGGGCCGCCGCGCTGGCTTGTCATTCCCCCCGCGGCTATAGGTGTTTTTGCTTTGTCATGCGCTGGGCTGCGTCCGGGAGCCCGTAGTCCCCAGAGGAGACTGCCGTGCGGACCAGTCTTTGCCTCGGTTGTGTGTGGACCTGTGAGGTAGTGGTGGCCGTCCTCGGGAGGTGTGCGTTGCGTGTTGCGTAGTTCAACAGCTGGCCTTCAGGGACCAGTGTGCGAGTGCCCGACTTGTGTTTGGTCTCTTTGTGCAGCCGCGTCTCTGCTTTTGTGGTGCGGTGACTCAGCCGTGGCCCGTGTCCCGTGGGCCTCCGTGTGTCTCTTGCCTTGCTGGCTGCGTGGGTGTCCTTGACTAGGAGAGTCTTCTGAGGGGCCGTGTCTGGCCTGGTCTTCCCCTGCCTCGTCTTTTGAGTATGTATGTTGTTACAGGGTGGTTAACTTCACCAGCGGCCCCCTTTCCCAGGGCAGTCCCTGCTCTCCCCTGCTAGAGGGGCACCCTAATCCGTCACCCCATCCGACTCCAGAATGTATTCGTTGGGTCCGGCAACTCACCACCAGCATCCAACCAAATCTAGCGGATCAACGGCGCATTAACTTAGTTCCTGGTCAGCTCGCAAGCTGATATTATCACGTCCTACACCGTCCATGTGATGGGGGGCCACCTCCCATTTCATCACTCCTCAAACACCCGAGGAGCCGGCAGGCGGATTTGAACCCGGGTCGGCCAGGTGCAGAAGTCAGGCCTTAACCTCTGCCAGCCGCCTGCCTTTGAGTATGTATGGAGCTCCCTGTGTAGAACCCCTGGCCCCGGTGGCGTTTTCGATTTATTCTTTGGTGTTCTTTAGGGGAAAGCGCGCGAGTAGGCTTGCCAGGCGAAGTGGGGACAGGTAGCCTGTCCAGGGATCCCAGAGGTGGTGTGGCGCCTCTTGCGCGGCTCTCGCTTAGTTCGGTTCGCAGTCTTCTGCGCCGCTGTGTTGCCTAACCAGGGACTGGGAGAGCGCCTCGGCTGGCGTCAGTGAGGGAGTGAGGCGCGCGCGGAGGAATAGACGGACTTAGCCACGTGCCCGCCCATGCGCTTTGTTTCGGCCCGGTCAGGGCCCGGTGCTCGTCCTTTCTCGGGACGAGCCGCCCACAGTGTAACACCCCATCAGCACCACCACCAACACCACCACCAACACCACCACCACCACCAACAACAACAAACAACAACAACATCATTTGTAACGCCGTCCACGAACTGCCTATGGCCAGCATCGCCGACCACAGTAAACACGGAAATCTCACGCAAAACAACATGGTTTAGATAGACCAAAATGGCGAAAAATGGACAGCTGCGGACCTCCACGCCAAAACAGCATTCAAATGGACGGGTGACAGCCCGAGCGGCTCGCCCGCAACCAAGTCGCTCCCAAGCAGAATGGGAATACGTGGATACCGATGAAATTATGAGCAGAATTCCAGAGGGAGCCCCGCTGTATCTCGAACAGGACCTGGTAAGTGTAATCCATTGGCCGGCCGGTTTTGATCCCGCGGACATATAATTCCAGCTGTATGGA